ATTCAAGATTTCCGTGCAAGTGGCACCATTTCCTTTAGGACAAGCTAGGAACATGGCTATAGAAGGAGCAGCGATAACACAGTGTTTAAGGCGGCATATGTGACGGTCATATTCGACAAAAAACTGTGCCATCTGCATTTAGGAATAACGAGACATTACGATAAGCATTTCAGGAGGCAGGGTACAGTTTCATAATTTGGCCCATGGCAAATTTCTTAACTTAAGGCTATGGTGTGACTTTTTCAGCAATTATTGTCTACTAATTAAATATGTGAATATATTTGTGAGCTAGGTGTTTCAGGCTTGTGTTGTTCTTGAAATTGATATCAGGCATGTACACCTTCCATAGTTACTCTGCAATATGTTGATAGTGAAATATCAATAGTTGTCTATGAAGAAGAGCTAGCCTCTCGTAACAGTAAACATGTGGGTTTGGGACAAGGAGCATATCTCAAAAACGGCTTGGATGACAACTATTTTCAACTGCATCAGCCTGTTTAGTACACACTGTTTGGCAGAATTGTGATCCAGGAAAAGGGCTTGTGTTTGCACTGTGAGTACCATATGGTGTCAAAAATGACCTTCAGACATAAAAATTGCAGGTTGGGGTGCATAAACTTTTTCTGCTATGAACTGCCACTGACTTCTCTGGTCAAGTGGATAATATTTTTATGCTTTGTTTTAATATAGGTATCTCAAAATATGGACATTCTTGACCTCACTTGTGTATTTGATTTTTTATGATTTTTTGTACTAGGTCACTGATTGCGGCATTCAATTTGTACATAAAAACTGGCTTCTGCCCCCTCAGTGAAACCCACAATCTAATGTTAATAGATACTAAGATTTTCAAGTATGATTTTCATACACGATGTTGTACCTGCACTATAATAAAATAAACCAAGAGATAAACGTTTATGTTGAAGTTTCATGGCTGTACTCCAAGCAGCGCTGTGGTAACGATAACAAACGTGTATGCACGGCACGGGTGAACCATCCTATAATCTTTTCAGGTCTATGGCCAGTAGAGCTACTAAAATAAACACAAATCTAATTTGAATGTTGTTCCCATCACAATGCTTGACCAAATGACATCATTCCAATGCTTGACCAAATGGCATCATCCATGGATAGGATTGATACTAAGAAATAAAAAACAAGGCACCACCCATGGACAATGGTAAAGCTCCACCATTGTTTTACCAAACAATCACTCCATATGACATAATCCAGACGCAGTAGTATTGACTGAATGGGAATCATGTGATGATGTTATGTTCCAAATATGAATATAATATTATATAAATAATAAATATAATATAATATAATATATAAATGTTAATGCAATTTTGAACTAAAACTGTCTACAGACACAGACGAGAGCAATCCAAACACTAGAAGCCTATTGAGCACAGGGAATTCAGGCAATTTCTCCACTAATATTGCCTTTTCTTCTAAACATTCCGTGTGCCACTTTTTGTTTCTCACTGGGAAACGTACAATAAAATGTTTTGACAACATTTGCCATGGACATACAAACGCACAGTCAAATAGCTATAGGAAAGAATTCGTTATTGATTGCCTATAAGTATGGAAGTCAGAACTTAGTGCGAGTTGAGCCGTAAATAAAATAATTTACTATATTTCTTATCTTCTTTTCCTCCTCGATGTCATTCTACACACTGCATGTATACCAGCAAATGTTACATTATTCGAAAAAAGACCCCTTATTGTCTAGTAGAACAAAAGACCCATTTTTGTTTAGTCGAACAAAGACCCACTTTGTCAAGTCAAACAAAACACAAAGTTTTGTTTAGTTGAACAAAAAGCCCCTTTTTGTCCAGTCCGCCTTTAATAGACCTTAAAAGTAAAGCCTTTAACTTCAATCATAGGACAAAGCAAAATATATCAGACCATTGACTTGATCTTAAGACTAACCATTTATATTAGACCACTGGCTCATTGATCTTAAGCCAAACCATTCATATTAGACCACTGGCTCATTGATCTTAAGCCAAACCATTCATATTAGAACACTGGCTCATTGATCTTAAGACCAACCATTTATATTAGACCACTGGCTCATTGATCTTAAGACTAACCATTTATATTAGACCACTGGCTCATTGATCTTAAGCCAAACCATTCATATTAGACCACTGGCTCATTGATCTTAAGACCAACCATTTATATTAGACCACTGGCTCATTGATCTTAAGCCAAACCATTTATATTAGATCACTGGCTCATTGATCTAAAAACTAACCATTTATATTAGACCACTGGCTCATTGATCTTAAGACCAACCATTCATATTAGACCACTGGCTCATTGATCTAAAAACTAACTATTTAAATTAGACCACTGGCTCATTTATCTAAAAACTAACTATTTAAATTAGACCACTGGCTAATTGATCTTAAAACTAACCATTTATATTAAACCATTGGCTCATTGATATTACGACTAACGATTTATATTAGACCACTGGCTCATTGATCTAAAAATTAAACTATTGAAATTAGACCACTGGCTGATTGATCTTAAAACTAACCATTTATATTAAACCATTGGATCATTGCTCACCAGTTGTGAGGAGGAGATAGTGTGTGACTGAAAAGGGGATCATCATAGAAGGATTAGTTTTGACCAAACAATCTTTAATGGTTTTGGATTCACTATGTTAACAATGGTTTCAAAAGGTGAAAGTTTACATCAGGTATCTTAGTCGTAAGTGAACATTGTTTTGTGCAACCTAAATCGGGGCAACCTTATTATTAAGTGACAATACGCCCTCAGAGCGGGCAATCCCCATCATAGACAAAGAATATTTGGGACATTGTTTATGATATTGTCATTGTGCGATTATTATAATGAGCTTTGACCTTGTGCTACTTGCCCAAATAATAGTTTAAAAGCAAAGTGCGTCATTGAGTTAAATACGGCATCTTCTAATACTGGTGTAACTTAGAAGACTCAATAATGAAAACCATCTTAAATGTTTCCTTAAGAAACTCATTTTTTGAACTATGTGTCATACATACATTAGTGAATATTAACACATATTTAACAATCAAACATCTGAGTTACTTTGTATGAAATTATGAAATTTATACTAAAAAACAATTTAGTATTTTTGTTTAAACAGGCAAATAAACGAGAACGTTAAATTATGATCCTATACAGTTCCTATACCATATTTACTCATGTATGATGCATTATGAAACGGAATTTTGGGGTTATACATGAATATTCATATGATAAGTTTTCAAATTTAATTTTGTCTTACCTGGTAATTATAAATGATTTTTGCTCATGGATATAACTGGCATTAATCCTTGTGCTTAAGAAAGATTCGAGCTATTGATTATTATTTGCATCGATCCTTGTTTTCTAGAAAAAAGCAGTCAGTTGATGTTGGCATTGATCCTTATGCTCAAGAAATTTCCAACTGTCAGTTATTTGCATCGGTCAGTGTTCTCCGGAAGACATCATGCATTCAGTTATGGTTGTCGTTTGTCCTTATGCTCATACATCTTCGAATTGTCACTTATTGCTAACTGAGTGTCAAACACTGTTTCTCAATCTGTCCTCTTCATTACATCGAGTCAAAGTTCCTGTCACAGATTGATTTGTTTGTTGGTTTATTTTTTTCTTTTTTTGGTCCTTTTTTGTTTGTCTGTTACAAACTCTCGTACGATTAAAATTTTCCAGACAATGTACTGCCTATCGACATTAAGACAATCCCATTCTAACAGTACTCATAGTTTGGCAGAGTGAATGAAGAGGAAAATCTATATGACGGATAAAGTGAATCATTTAGAATCTAATTTCTATAAGTTGTAATAAACAGATTCCAATGTAAACAGATTCCATTGTAAACTCCTTCGATTCACTTATTTGAGAGTCTCTTCATCGTTGTTTCTGTTTCCAGAATATGATTGTATCATAAACGTGATCTGAGCATCCCCCCAGAAAATTGCGTGAATAAGTTCAAATATAACCAAATAGATCTACTGCTGCTGTAAATCAGAATGTCATAGCGGTTCAGTCTTTTATATCGATAGCATTAACTGACAGCCAAGCGTATGTTAAGATTCTACCAGTGAAAGCAAGATCAATACATGCGATTTATAAAAGCCTGGTGAATGCAAATCAGCGCACAGTTGTGGGCAATATGGCAATGAAGCAGAACACACAGATTCTTAAACCACAGAGGACAGGATATGAGGTTGCTATTGCCATTATGATCGACGGAACAATTAGCTGATTATGAAATGGAAGAAGCGTATGTGCGTACGTGCGTGCGTGTGTGTATGTGTGTGTGTGTGAGAGAGAGAGAGAGAGAGAGAGAGAGAGAGAGAGAGAGAGAGAGAGAGAGAGAGAGAGAGAGAGAGAGAGAGAGAGAGAGAGAGAGAGAGAGAGAGAGCATGGCATGGATGCTTTGGCTTGTAAGATATTTTAAAATATTTATAAGATCTCTTATAAAAGTAATGATTTTTTTGCGGTGTTTATGCCTCATACGATATCTCGCACAGCTTGTGCGATATATAAAACTTCGGGATAAAAGCAAACAATTTTGCTTGCCATAAACATATTAAAATATCTTATAAACTATATGTTATTTTGACTAAAATTTATATCACCCACCCACCACACCACACCTCACTATCTTTATTTGTATTATTATTTTGCTTTACTTTTTTAGCAGTCTATTTGCATAGGATAAATTTCTCAAGCAAAATTGCAAATATTACAAAACTGTTGGCAAAATTTTTGAATTCTTCGTTGACCTTTCCTTTCATCGTATCCCATTCCGTCGGTCACTATTTAATCTCTCTCTCTTCTCTCTCTGTCTCTCTATGTCGTCTGTCTGTCTGTCTGTCTGTCTGTCTGTCTGTCTCTCTCTCTCTCTCTCTCTCTCTCTCTCTCTCTCTCTCTCTCTCTCTCTCTCTCTCTCTCTCTCTCTCTCTCTCTCTCTCTCTCTCTCTCTCTCCACCGCTCTCCGGTTGCCTAGTGGTTAGAGCGTCCGCCTAAAATGCGAGAGGTCGCGGGTTCGAACCCCTTGCAGTGTCA